CTCCTCTCCTCCACTCTATTTTCCCTTTTGGGGTCTGGATAGTTGCAAGACAGCTGAAAGTCACTCACCTTGGTGAGTTGTTTGTAGATATATACAATGCTCCTCACATTCCTCAACAAATAAATCAGTTCTGCCAGAGGTGAGAATATTTTGAATATATGAATATTTTTCTGTCAAAATTCTTTCTTTTACAAGCATTGCTCCCTCATGTTGTGGACATTGTTATTGGCTATTCTGGATAGTTGCAAGACAGCTGAAAGTCACTCACCTTGGTGAGTTGTTTGTAGATATATACAATGCTCCTCACATTCCTCAACAAATAAATCAGTTCTGCCAGAGGTGAGAATATTTTGAATATATGAATATTTTTCTGTCAAAATTCTTTCTTTTACAAGCATTGCTCCCTCATGTTGTGGACATTGTTATTGGCTATTTCCTATTTTGAAATATTCCTATTTATTGGTTGTAGCCTTACCTTTTCATCAAACTCCAGGATGTTTTTTTCTGACAGTAAATATTCAAGAAGGCTATTACATTTTCACTTCCATGAAAGTCATAGTATTTTCTAAGATTTTTTTTTTTCTGAAGAGTATCCCCTCAAAAGTGCTAATAGTAAAATAAATAGTAAATTAAATTATTTTCAACAACTACTTGAGCTATAGCCTTGTACTTCTGTCAAAGTCAGAGATGAAATGGAAGCTGGAATTTGCCTTGTGCTCTCATGCTTCTTTATACAGAAGTCTCCTAGATGTGTCCCCATACCAATCTGTACATAATTCCTGGAAGAGGACAATATGAGAGAAATAGTAACACTGTCTGTTCTCTTTCTTTTCTTCTGTTTTTTTCCTCACCATATGAAAGCACCATTCATTTCAGAAGAACCTTACAATAGTATTAAGCATTATATTTTTCAGAGAAAAGGGAAGATGGATTTTATTTTAGACTTTGTAATAAAACTTACTTGTTTGGAAATACAACACTTTTTTTTTTTCCTTCTGCCCTCTAGTAATTCGGTTCAAAGGTGCTCCTTTGGGGAAATTACAGGGAGTTTACAGTGATGGTATCTCAGTTCATAGGTAGGATATTTTCACCTGCAATTCCCTCAGAGCTGCAGCCTTTGACCTCTGGCTGCATCTATCAGTGGTGATGTGACAGTGACAGAATATTTTGCTAGATTTTGAATGGTTCCTGGAGTTCACAACTTCTGTCCTTAGCAATAAAATGTAATATGACTGAGGTTCTCTTCCCCGTGCCACAGCTTTTCCTGTAGAAAGTATCACTGAATAATTTTTTCTTTGAGCCCTAAGGGGAAAAATTACTGTTGGACTGTTACTCCTAATAATGATATTCCATTATTAATTTGTATTTACTGAAAAACAGGACTCAAAGATTTGTGTTTCAGGGCAGTTGTTTCTTATAAGCTTTTTCCTTTACCTTTATAAATCAAGAAGTGAATTAAATATGCTCATTTTTCATATTCTGACATTTTACAGTTTCATGATATTACAGTGTTTTCCTAGGAAACACTGAGGAAAATGTCCTTTTGAAAATTGCATTATTTCTTTTCCCTTAAAAAATTTCTAACCATCTAATAATTTCAGTCATTCACCCTTGCAGTCTGATGACACTACTGTATACACCTCTGTAATCAGAGCTTAAGCCAAGATGACGTTTGAGCATAATTCCTCTTTTTTTCCAGGACATACAAAGGAAAAAAAAAAAAGTGGAGAATTCTGAATTTATTTGAATTGCTTTTTTTTTTTCACTTTTCTGTTACACACTTGGAGAAAAGAAAACCTCAAAAGGAGATGGGGTTCTCAACAGCAACATTGATGGGGAAATTATAAAAATCTAAATCTCAAAGTATAGCTAATCTTTGATGAGAAACACAAAGCATCTTTCTCTGTTTCTTCCAACATCCATCCTTCCCTAGCAGTAAAGCCCAGTTTTCAGTTCACATCTTCAGTTTCCAGACCAGAAAGATTCTTTTCTTGCAGGCTAGATTAAAGATTGGGAAACTAGGATTTATTGGGACAGCTGTTTTCATTAGAGATAGGAAAGAAAGTGTTAATGTGTCTGTACAATGCAATGATAAGACCAGGTAGATTGACCCACCCTGTACTATTGGGTCCAAAACTGAAGTCTGTAAATCCATGGTTGGTAGTTCTCAGCTGGTTGAGAAAGATAGTAAAATACATGGAATTATTATTAAAATTTCGATGACAGGAGATGTTAGGGTTTGGCAAGAACTACTGTAGATTCACCCTAAAATTTCAAGAACTGTTTTTATATAAAGTTCTGGCTACCCAAATTTTAAGAACAAACTTGGAGCTAGACAAGGACAGGTAGTTACTACGATGACTAAAAAATGGCAAGCCCATCACTTCAAAGGAGTCTTTAAGAGTTTTGGTTGTTTAACAGAGTCAAAAGGAAAGGCTGAGAGGGCTGATTTCTTCTGTAAGTACATAACTGGGGAAAACATAAGAGAGGGAGAAGCCCTGAAGCTAAAGGACAGTGCTGACACAAGAACAAAGAGATACAAGGTAGACAGGAATAAATTCAGACTGAAAATCAGAATACTTCTCTCCTTTAGAGTAGGAAAGGTCTGGAACATCCTTCCAAGTCATATACCCAGATAGCCATTTCACTAATTTATTAACAGGTTTATATGATATGATTGTCTGCAATAAAAAAGACTACATTCGTTGACCCACAAAAGTCTATCCAAGCCTCCATTCCTAAAGCATATCTTTCAGAAACCCATGCAATATTGTTTAGCTACTCCAGTAGTTCCCTTGTTAATTTCTTTTAGGGTTTAACTGTTTTTCCAGTTAGGAAACGGCATTTTATTGCAGGGTTGAAATGTGTGCAGCCATTCACCCATTGGACCTCGCTGTGCCGTTAGCTGCAAGATAAATTTCTGGGCTACTGGACATCTTTTACGCCCGTGACTCCCAGCTATGGTGGTCAAGTCACTGCTTTGCTGCCTGTGCAGTGAAGAGAGAAGACACTTTAAACACTGTGTAGCCTCCTGTCTTATTCTCTGTATCAGTTGTGTGATCCTCCTTTAAGCTCATTTCTGTAAATGTGGGTACAAGACTTTAATCTTTCTGGTCTACAGCGGCAAGATAGTTCTCAACCCCTATTTGCTATTCAAGGGTATTGCACTGAAAGTTAATGTTGAGGGAGTTTTTCTTTCTGGCTCCATAAATCCTTCTGTCTCACTGCCTTCCAGAACAGAATCTCGTCTCCAGTGAGCAGAGCATGTGCTTGTCCAGGTGCATCTACCTTCCACCTGGCTACATTCAAAATAAATAAAATAAATAAAACACATTTTGCTACCTTTTTATTTAACTAGGCAATGCAGAGAATGTTATAATAATGACTTTCTCTCTTCATTATACAGTTGCCCATGAATCTTTGTATCAGTTTTATATACAACCATATCTTACCAGCAAAGATTTTATATTATCCTGTAGATAACATTATTGGTTAGTATTCCATCAAGAATCAATTCCCAGCTCCTAATTGGACACACTAATTTCCAATATCCTAATATGTAGCTCATCCTTTCTATGGACAAAAAATTTTAAGATCTGTCATTGAACCAGCTTCTGTGCCATCCATGTTGTCCACAGTCAGTTCCATATAAAACAGGTTTAAATCAAAACATTGTATTGCTAAGACAATTATCTTGAAAAAAATACATGGAGGCCATTTTAACATAGCCATCTTTATCAACTATACCTGTCATCCTGTCAAAAACAGATAAGAAGCTTGCTTGACAAGGCTCCCATTCCAGTACAGCATGGTGACTGGCATTAATGAGATTTTTGCTTCCAATTCTTCGTTGACAGAACTGTGGATTAACCGTTTTGTTATTTTGCATAGGATTAATGTTACAGTAATTCATCTGTAGTTCCCTAGGTCATTTCTTTTATCCTTTTAAAGTATTTGAACTACACTGGCAGAGCTCCAGTCCTTTGGAATTTACCAATTTTCTATATTTCATTTGTACAAAATAAATATAACCAGATGAAATCTGTGTTATCTAGCATGTTGCTAATTTTTTGTACTGATTAACTTTCTTTGGCTGGCAAAGCAATATCAAATACTAAGCAATTCCTTACTGCATATAGGAGTTTCACTGTTAAGATGTCAGCATCTGTTATTATTAGAAACAACAGAAATCTTGCTATTTGTCATATAAACACTCCATAAATGCCCACTTGTTTGAACCCAAAATAAAATACATTTCACTCCTGAATAGAAAAAATAAATATTTAGGGAGTAGTCTATCCTGCTCTTTAATAAATTAAATGTGATAAAAATGGCAAAGGTATCCATAGTGATATATATAAAATGATGTACACCCATAACCATGTTTAGGTATAATTTTAATCTATAAGCATTCAACGTGTCTCTGAATCAATAATGTCTATGCAACAGTAGTATCTTTCTAGTACAGTGTTGTTCCTCCTCTCTTCTTTTCCTACCCCCAGTTTCATGAAAAAAATTATGATCATTAATATAGGGACATCCTTAACTCATGCTGCTCTTTAGGTTCCTAGCAGAAGTCTAGAGACTTATATGTTCAATAGCAGATCTTTACATTACAGCTGCTTTTAATACCACCACACTTTGTATTCTTTATCTGAAATATACATTTCCAGTATTTTTAGGTCATAAAACAGCAATGTATTGTTATCATTTGTGTATTGTAAACAGCACGCAGTCCATAATTTCTAAACCAAAGAAATTTGCTTTTTGTTAATGTATGAATTAATGCATTGGGAAGCTGTGCTTATGAAACTTTATGATATCTGAATGTATTTTGCTCGGAAACCTAAGTATGAGATATTTAAGCATACTGCACCTCTCTGATGCTTACTGATTTAAGGCAAATTACAGCAAAGTTCTTTTGTTGATAAAACAGGTCTGGTTTGGCATTCCTCTTGTTGTTTCCTTTTTTTGTTTTTCTTCTTGTGTTTTTGTAACAGGTGATTATCCAGCTCCTCGGGCTGTTCTAACTGGTCACGACCATGAAGTTGTCTGTGTGTCGGTCTGTGCAGAGCTGGGACTCGTTATCAGTGGTGCTAAAGGTCAGAAATGTTTTTATGATTTAAGTCTTAACATTTTTAGAGCGTTTTTTAGTGGTACTTCTCAGTGTTCCCTCAAGCCACATGTACTTTAATTATCCAAAGTCTCCTCTACTAAGATGTGTTGTAATTCTGGGGGAATTTGCAGCAGCTTACTCTGAACTTTATTACTTACTATCTGGACTTACGAGGTTTAGACACAAATTAAGTTGATCATTCCTTCTAACTGTCAGCCTGTGCTACTATTCCCCCCAGATCTGGAAGAGCAGTTGATAAAAATTTATACAATAATTCATAATGACATCTACTGATTTTGAAGAAACCTGTTGATAGAGACCTGTATTTAGGGGAGGGCCAGTTCCAAGTTCTCCACCCTGATCTTAATTGAATGGCAGTTTGTAGGACTGACCTCAGTCTCCTTGGCAAGGGAAGCAGGGTCAATTTGCTTGGTTTTGGATCTGTGGACAGCATTTCATCCAGTAGGTTTTTTTGTAGTGGATTCCAAATAATGAGGAGTTTGCAGATTTGTTGTTACCTCTCTTCTATTAAACTTTTCGAGCCATCTGTTCACACTTTCTCCCTGTTACTTATCTATGGAATCCAGAGTATCCAACAATTGCTAACACAAATGTTCAAAATACCTTTCCAAACCTGCAGCAGTCTGCTGTATAACTGGTAATCAATGTAAATAAATCACCCGCCTCAATGAGTGTTTGCTTCATCTTTCCTTATTCTGTTTCTCCTTCATTTGTTCCATTTCACTTCTTCTGCCCACCTCCTCCTTTTCCCCTTGATTCCATGCCCACTTTTCTTCCCCCACTGCCCTCTCTCGTTCAGCTTCTTTTCTTAATTTGGCAAACTGCATGTCTTCTTCTCCTTTCCTTTCCTATTTGTCTCCCCCTCCTCCCCCTTCTCTCTTACTTTCTTTTGTGCTACATTATCTCTTATCCCTTCTTATTTCCTTGCTTTACGTTACCCTTGTCCTTCCTTAAGGTGGTTCTTCCTTATATCTCTTCCTATCTCATTTCCACTCCACTCCTACATCCACATCCAGCTACTTGCTTTCTCGGTCTACAGTGATGCCTGTTTTATTCATCCCCATGGATATCGTTGTACTCCTTTTTAAAAAGTTTGCTGCTTCTGAGGGTAGGAAGGATGTGATGCTTGTTCTGCCTGCTTTTGCTCACAGCTGAGCTCCTGGGTTATCGTCTTTTATACTGCCTCGGAGCTTAACATTTATTTTCAAAGCTGAGTGTGAAACTTTTGAGTAAAGGCATTTTTAACAGGAAATCTTAATGGGTCATTAACTCTCGTAATGACATACTACATAACAGTCGTAGGTGAAGTCAAGACATTTATGAAAAAAATGTACAGTGATGCTGAATCTAAAGATTTTTCTTGCAGCACTGCTATTTCTTATCTTTTAAGGCAGCTTTATATATTCTTACTGCTGTAATAGTGTACCCTTTCCAACTATCTATTTGCAAATTTCCTCTTATTAAAATAGCTGGAATCTGTATTCAGTTATCTTCTGCTTCATTAAGTACGTGATGCTTTGGTAACATATATTTTTAGAGGTAAAGGCTGCTGGAGGACCAAAGACTTTTACATCGAATCCAGAATATGTTTGTAATTGATCCAGAGAAATGGAGACCCAGTCTGTCCCCTGAGTTACTCTTCTCCTGTCCTTCCTCTTCAAACTCTATTCCATATACAAATGGAGAGAGAAAATCCCTTTTTTATTGCTGTTTTCCAGCAGATGCCTGTTTTAAAGCTTCTTCTTCAGTTTCTGTCATTCCCAGTCCCTTCCCAGTTTCTTAGGCTGCATTTCACGGCAGTGCTGCGTTGCTCTGCCTTCCTGCCTGGGCGCTGCCTGTGCTCCCTCGTGGGGAGACTGCCCCTCCAGAGCTGGCTGTAGCACTGTGATAACACGCACAGCATGCCAGAGAACCCGCTGAGGCAGGGAGACAGCACGTACAAGACTCGTCTGAGAAAAATCTTGTGCGTCAGGTTGATGTTTGCATGTTCTTATCCAACAAACCCAAAAAAGAGCGGTCAGTCCGTATGTCTTTACAGTAGCATCCTAAATCAGAAGATTTTCTGTGTGCCTTTTCATGTCCGTGACCAATCAGCTGAGCCAAGGTAGTGGCAGTTTGTCAGTGTGCTTAAATATGAAGGTATTACACTTTTCTTTTGAAAAATCTAACATGGTAATTATTCTAAAGGCGGAGGCATCACTTCTTATAACATTCTGGCACCTCAGTATTTCCAAAGCTGAAACTCAACTATTTGAGAAAATCAATTAATTCCATTGCAGTTGTATCCCATGGACCCAGTCAGGCTTGGAGTCTCTCTGCATGAGGCTTTATGCAAACACAGATAAAAACCCGTACCAGAGGCCTCACAGGCAAATGCACTGATGCTGTGATTCATTCTACCAGGGCAAACCCAGCTGCTGTTTGATTTTCAGAGAAGTTAGAAGGGCTTAATATGAGGTGGCTGAGTCTGCCAGTATGAATTTACTTTCAGGGTCATGAGCCAGTTGTATAAGGAAGAGATTACTGTGCTGTCCAGGAGTATCCTGTGATTCATAAAAGAAAACATTTAGTATTTACCGTGACTCATTACATTTATCACAGAAGAGACTCTTTTTCTCAGTAGGAGTACACATCTCACTTTCAAAAGAGTTTTTCTCATAGATCTTGAAATTGAAATAGCCTAGTGTTGTATCTTAAAATGTACATTGTAGATTTCATAGCTGTTTTTTTTCTTTCATAAGCAGTAATAAAAAGACATTAAAATCTCATACTAAAATCTCTCTGGAGTAAATGCAGTTATAGTGTGGTCTCTTAAAAGCTCTTATCGTCCAGATATCATAGTAACTCTGTTGGCTGTCAGATGACACCCATTGTTAAAACAATTCAGGACTGAAATCTATGCATATAACACATTCATTGGGGGAGAGGACCTACAGGAACTGCCATTGTCTATAGGAGAAATATGCAGTGATACGATTATATGCCCTCTGGGAGTTGCTCCTACTAGTCACTGATAGGGCCCCATCTGTTTAATGTGAATGGGCAGGCTAAAGAGAGTTCATGTTGTTGGAGGAGAGCAGTAAGACTGAGGCTTCTGAATGCTTGGAAAGAGGAAAGAATATTTTAGAAGATAGATCAATGAAAACTACCAGTTTAAGTAGATAATAAACTACCACTTTTAGGCATGTTGTATCTATTTTCTTAATATGCTAGTTCTTGCATTTCCTTTTCTGTTGTGTATTCTAAATTCTTTAAGCAAACATTGCATCTTCTTATATCTATGCAGGACTAATGTGATCTAAATGTGTATTATGCATTGCCTCTGTGCACAGTGTATATAGTTTGTATAAGCAGCAAATATATGATATATTATGTTTTCATATACAGAAGGTCCTTGTCTGGTACACACAATTACTGGAGATTTGCTGAGAGCCTTGGAAGGAACAGAAAACTGCTTGTATCCTCGCTTAATTTCAGTATCTAGTGAAGGTCACTGCATCATCTACTATGAACGAGGACGGTTCAGCAATTTCAGCATTAATGGCAAACTCTTAGCTCAGATGGAGATCAATGATTCAACCAGGGTAAATCTAAATGCAAACAAACATTTGTTGTGTCTCACCTTTATTTATTGAAATAAATTGAATTTATTTGCAGTGTGGTTTAAAGGAAATCACATATGTAAAATTGCCGCCTCCTGGTTAAGTCATGTGCAAGCACAAATCCTCTCATCTCCATCTCCAAATGCAAAACTGTACTTGAGCTTTTCGAGAATAAATAAGAACAAATTGTTTATCATCCCACACAATTCCTAGAATTTTTGTTTGGAATTAAATTTTGGGGGGAAATATGTCTTTAAAACAAATGCTCTGAAAAGAGTCCATTCTTCATTTATTAGCCAAGACGTGAATTTGTGCCTTCAGGGCTCTGCTCTGTCACTAGCACTTGAAGCAGCATTAGGAATGCAGATCGCTGCTCGGCTTTAGGTGTTAGTGGTGGCACTGAGTATCGTAGGTCAAACATCAAAATGTTCTGTGCTGAACTCAGGTCTTGGCAGATTCAGTTAAAGAGCTTTTTGGTTATATCTCATGTTTAAAACCGCACAATTGTTTTAATTAAATTTGGAGATCCAAAATTTGTTAGTTTATTTTTTGACTGGGGAGAAAGAGGAGTGGGAGCCTTTGTCTTCAAATTTAAAGTGGGCAGAGCAAAAGAAATGCTTATAAGTTGATTAAATTTTTGTAATATTGACCCGTTTCCATAAAAGCTAACTGTGTGCTTGGGTTTTGTCTTTTTCTCCTGAAGGCCATCCTCCTGAGCAGCGATGGGCAGAACCTGGTGACAGGGGGAGACAATGGTGTGGTGGAAGTATGGCAGGCCTGTGACTTCAAGCAGCTCTATATTTACCCTGGCTGTGATGCTGGCATAAGAGCTATGGATCTGTCTCATGATCAGAGGTGAGTTTGTCTTTAATATTGGTATGTAAATGGTAAAATTGCACAAAATATACATCTCCATGAACTTTAAGGTATGAATTTATGGTATTCACTCGTTAACAGGATATGGTACAAAACCATTACCCCAGTTGTTATCTTGTTGATTTATCTGACTCAGCATTTTTTCTGATCCTTGAGTCTCATAGCACAAGCGCTTAACATTAAGGTGAGGTCTTATATCATTGAAGTCAGTAAGCTGGAGACTCAGCTAGCAAAATACGAGTAAAATTACATTAACTTAAGAACATAGGAACAGTCAGACTGGATCGGAGTGTAGTGGTGTCTATTAATCAATGCCTTAAAACAAATTACAAAAGTTTGCGGTACATTTCTGATTTTCAGCTGTGTAGAGCTTGAGAACTTCTTGGGGTTGCATCTAGACTATAAAGTGTAATATTCTATCAGTGGATCTATCCACCAGGAGTGAGTGTGGTCCTTTCCTTTGACCTTCTTGAGCAATGGAGATGCAGTGTACAAGCCTAGATTTTTGCAGTCACTGCTGTGGCACTAAAATGCACACTGTCAATGTAAAAGATATATGAACCTGGTCCCTCAGTCTTCTATTGTAATATGATTATAATGTAAGCCTATAAGTTGCATTTATGCAGGGTTATGAGTGGATTTGCTGTTTACATCATGCATCAGTCTTGTATTTCTTATTAATATACAAGCTCGTGAGATGCAAGGAATTCATAGATATTAGAAAAATCATACAGCGTTCATTTCAGTTTATTTTTCTTACACTTTTTAGCATTCCTATGCTATGTACCCATTTTGTAAGGCAACAAAAACACCCATAAACAAAATACATACCTGATTTACTCATGTATGAGAAGATGATTTGAAACAAGTTTTTTGTCTCAAACTAGTCTAATTGAAACTAACTTACTGGAAGAGGCCTATTCGCTTCTGGAGCTTTGCCAGTTTATCCATAGAGTACTGTGCTCTGTTCGAAGAGATTTATTTACACTGCAAAAAATTTCAGGTAGCCTATTTTCTCTGTCCCTGATTGTAACCAGCCTGGGAAGCCCCAGCTGTGCAAAGTGCTTTAAGTACCTGTTTAGCTTTAGTCACATAGTTAAGCAGAGAATGGCATTTGTATGGTTTGATAGAGGTGGTGATAGATATCTGATCCAATTTTAAAACTCAGCTACCAGAATTAGAGGATATGTGATAACTGGAAAATCACCTCAACTATTGCCACCAGAACAATGTAAATATGGGGCTACATTTCAATATGAAGCTTTTTAGGAGTACCAAGGTGTGATCAGCTTAAGTTCAGTTGTCTTCACAGAGGCATCTCATTCTGTCTGGAAGGCCCTAGGATATCCAGCTGATCCCAGCTGCAGTCCCAAGTGCAGAGCGCTCTACAGGTCCTGTGTCCCAGCTGCCAGCCAGCGTAGATGTGTCAGCCATCCTGGGGCACCTCCAGTGGCATGAGGTGCCTACAATTAGACAGCTGGGTTCTAAAACACCTGAATGAAGGTGTTTTGGCATAGGTGTCTTCATGTGAGCTATGGATATAAGCTCCCGTAATAACTGTGGTGATTTACTTGCTACAGCCTGTGGAGTCTAGAGGAAAATTAAACACACCCTAAAGCGCATGCCCAGTGACCTGTAGAGAGTTGTTCTCAGGCTGCACTGAGGGTACTGATTAGGGCCTAATTTGGTTGCCTACCCATAGCCAGTTAGTACTGTTTGAGATACCTTGGAGGTCTGAGGTACTTACCTGGGGCGGCACGTATGACAAAGGACCTAGTGAAGACCCACACACTTCTGGAGAGGCAGCTGGAGGCAAGGCAGGATATGCAAGAGCATCTGAAGTGGCATGGTGCTTTTACCTATGTGAAGGCAACTGAATGGATCTCTAGATCTCCCTTGACCATAATGGGAACATGGAAATTTGGTTCATATGTTGACACCTAAATGTAGTGTCTCCATCACAAACTGAATCTCACTCATGAGTTTAATCTTCAGTGTTGCAAAAAGTGCCTCGTTCTTTTAGCTTTTTTACTGTTTATAGTAAACCATTGCTCAAGAAGGTAAAAGAGGATTAACAGGACCATCTTTTCTATCTTTTTCAGAACTCTGATTACTGGCATGGCTTCTGGCAGCATCGTAGCTTTTAATATAGATTTTAACCGGTGGCATTATGAACATCAGAACAGATACTGAAGTGGAATGAAGAACTGAAAGCCCAGGTAAAGCTGCGAGCACAAGTGCTGCAATGAAAGGTGTAGTCTCTGGTGGAAAACCACGTCTGCATTGACCTCCGTTGTACATTCCATTACACCCAGCAATAGCTGTACATTGTAGTCAGCAACCATTTTACTTTGTGTGTTTTTTCACAACTGAACACCAGCTGCTGAAAAGCAAGCTTGTATCATGTAAATTATATGAATTAGGAGATGTTTTGGTAATTATTTCATATATCTTTGTTTATTGAGAAAAGGTAGTAGGATGCGCCACAAGAGACTTTTGAAAATTCTGGGGAACCTTGTGTCCAGTTGTTTCAATGTTTAGGCTTTGAACCTAACATGCATCCCATTTCCAGCCTCTTTTCAAGCTGAGATAAAAAAATACGTTTGATACTTTGTACATCAGATGCACATCTTAACTTTAAAGGGATACTTTTGTAAAAGTAAAACCTTGTATAAAGAACAAAACTGTTTCTTAATTTTATTGTGGAGTTACAACTTGCATGTACTTTAAACCTGATGTCTTGAAGGAACAGGTGCATTCACACAAATCAAACTGGAGATCTGCCTAAGGGTACAGCTTGTGTTAAAGGGTTGAATTTGGGTGCAAACAGTAATTTTGACATTTCCACCAACACATGTTTTTCACTTTTTGAATCTAAACTTTACCCCTCTTAAGTGGAGTTCTGCTCATGAAGCATTTGGATAAAAAGCCATCATTTGCCATATTTATACTTTATACAACAGAAATTAAATTCCTCCCTTTTAAATTCAAAGACTAGACAGAAAAGGAGCAAAGAGGGAAGTTCAGTTTAATGCTTTGTAATGCTTAATGACTCCCAGTACAAAGTGCTATACTTCTGGATTATTAACATTTGGCATACAAATCATGGGCAAGAGAGCCCCCAGTGATTTTTTCCCTTATTTTTCCTCTGAGCAGCTTGGTTTATTTGACAGCCTTAGCTGCATTATAAAGGTGACTGAGGTTATTCTTTTCGGTTCTTCTGAAAATCTCACCTGAAGCCACCCAGACTAAGGCACTTCATGTTTTACAATACTGTAATGATAACCATCGGAATAAATTTCTGCACATTGTACTGATCAAATTACACACCCAGGGGTATATACACTTTAATTCATGTTTCTTCTTTGTATATTTGGTGACTGTATTGTCATAGATGTACATATTGTGTCGGTAGGGCTATGAGGCATGTAACAGGAATGTAATTTTCTCAGAATTTACACTCACTTGCAGTCATTTATTTAAAAAGATAATGGATTCTTTGTATTGGCACTTTGCACCAGAAACATATCATTATTTATTGATGTGATTACTTATTTGTTATCCACCTTGTATTAGTAAGTTTAGCACTGAATTTCCTTCTTCATTGTTGTTTGTATTTATAAGATTCTGGAACCATGGGGATCAACGTAATGATTAAGTTATTCATCACCCGTCTGTAAGCAATATCTTGAGTTTGTAGCTTAGAATTGGGAGACTATTGAACATCTGGAAGACAAGTTCATTTCATCTTGAGATCATGGTGAAATATTTTGGATATATAAATTCCTTAAGCTATTGTAACCATGTTTTATTGCAAAGATGTAAAATATGCCAGATGTGTGTGAGTTGGAAATCAAAAAGAAAAATAAAATATGCAAAGAATTCAGTGATTGTTTTTCATTTCAATGAACTTTTCATCAAAACATTCACATTATCATTAGGAACAAACAATTATTTTAAGAAATCCTCTCTTATATGCTATGTATATGCCAAAAATTATGCATGCCTGGGTGGTTGTATTTCCTGGGGTCTCAGGAAATAAAACAGAGGTTACAGAGTGTGTTTTGCAACTCTTTTGATCATCAGTACATGAAGAGAAGCTGCTAAAGATACTTTGATCAGCAGAAGTGAAAAATCAAAGCCTTTAAGGGATATTTAGGATCATTGTGAACAGGCAATAATCTTGTATAATAGACCTCGCAGAAAGCAAAGATCTAATGAGAGCCATTTTGGGTATCTCTCAATATCTGATATGATGGAATTAATTTCATCTTATTTAGGGCATTGAAAGCTAGATATCTACGCTGCCTGCGTAGCAGAACAAAACAGGTAGGATAATTGCCTTTTGGAAATGCTGAGGTCCCTACAAAGATTATAGCAAGTAAGTGGAGATAGATAGTTATTTAAATGTCTGATGTCTAATTTAAGGTAGCAATGGTAAGCAAAATACTTTCCTCATAATTAGAAAACTCCCAATTGACTAAAAAGTAGAATAACAGCCAACACTTCAATTTGTTGCTCCACTCATTGCCTTTCCATTTAGAAGGATTGTTCTTTAAACAATTATCAAAATGAACTAAAGCCAATATTTGAGAACCTTATTAGAATACAGTATACATTTTAGCAGATATCTATCTGTATCAATCAGCTTTTGAAGTGGATAACCTAACTTGATTGTTTTGGGGCTGGAGGAGAGATGGGGGAGGAGATGAGAGGATTGGTATGTTAATAGTGGCATGTGAAACTGTTTATTGATATGTCGCAACCTCCATTCCATTATTATACAAGTATCACCCCTAATTTCATATTTTATTCAACAAATCAATTAAAAAAGTGCACCATTGCAGTTAAACCAAAATTAGTATTACTATTATCTTAATTAATACTGTTGTTTGCATGAAGTCTCTCAGCATTATCTGAAGTACAATTGAGTCACAAATTAGAAGTTTTTGTGCCCAAGCAAACCTTTGTATGAGAAATTGGCCATGGGTTACAAAAAGAGAAAAAAAATCCTACTGTAATGCATTCATAGGTAGGGGTACCCAAACAAGTCAGACTTGTAGTAGTAGTAGTAGTAGTAGTAGTGGTGGTGGTAGTAGTAGTAGTAGTAGTAGTAGTAGTAGTAGTAGTAGTAGTAGTAGTAGTAGTAGTAGTAGTAGTAGTAGTAGTAGTAGTAGTAGTAGTAGTAGTAGTAGTAATAATAATAATAATAATAATAATAATTGTGCCATCTCCATTATGGTTTAAGTTATCAAAATGGAGTTTCCACAAAGGCACAGGACAAGGAGAATATATTAACAGGCTGGTATAGTCACTGAGACAAGCTTGATATAGTTTTTGTGGTGAAACAAATAGACATTACTGTCTATTTAATTTCTATTTTTTAAGAAAAAAAAGTTATGATTGTGCCAGGATATTTAAATTCCTTTGTTGTTATTGTTGATTTGTGTTAATTACATTAGTGTAGACCTATCTGTTGCAGGGTCTCTTAATGTAAAAAGACAATATGCACAGATCTCCAGCTTATGTCACAAGACTTTTCCAAAGCTTCAGCTGCCCCATTTCTGTCACACGGTAAAGCTGGGCTGACTCGCCTTTTTTCTCTATAGAAATGAGAGTCACTGATTCCAGGGAGTCTCTGAGAGCTGCCTGTGGAAGATGAAGCAGCTTTGACCAAAGCAATTAAATGCGACCAATCTCTCAGCTAAGGGAGATGCGGCATTAAGGATACAACTGTGCAACTAAAATATACCTACAGTGAAAATAATGCGCAGTTATTGCCTGTGTTCCTGCCAGTCAGTCCTAGGTTAAGAATTGGACTATAAGCTAATGCCATGCCGGGAGGACGATGCAACAGCTATGAGGCTTATTCCTTGTCCAGATCCTACCACCGTTGAGGATGCTGCTTTCTCTGCAAGAGCGACAATAAAAGAAAGGCTGCTGCATTTTACCCCAAAGAAAGTCTAGTTAGCCTCAATTTACTGGAAGAGCCTCAGATAATGATTATGTTGATAGAGAATCTCATGGGTTGTGCTTGTAGAGCTAAAAATGCTGCCTGTGAACAACAGTTGTGGCGAATACTTGTTATAATACAGTGCATCAACCCTGCTGATAAGCAAGCAGGATGTTTGAAGCAAGCCTCGTGCTGCCAGGGATAAAAGCGTTTGAAGCAGACACAGGGAGCGAAGGGCTGATTTCTGATAACAGCAAGAGAACCACCTCCTGATACAAGACATCTAGTACATCCAAATATATCATTTGGAGACTTCTAGCTGGAGTTTATGCTCACATTTTCCAAGGGTTTAATTGTGGACTGGTTTTATTTAGGCTTTTGTGTGTGTGTGTTACTTGCAAACGCTAAAAATGAATGGGCTAAAACTTAAGCTGGTATTTAAAGAAGGAAAGAAGTACTGGAAATTTATAAGTTTATGCAATACAGTACATGCAGTTTATAGACTCTCTAACCCTGGTGATTAGTTTTGCAACATCTACAGTTAAGTTTGCAACCGACTTTTGCAACATCTACAGTTAAGTTTCAAGATCTGCAACCGACAAGAAAAACAACTCTGGAGATTGCTTTCTTGTAAAATTTATAAGCTGTGGTCATATAATTAGTTTACAGAGAGATTTACTTAGATGAAAATCTGCCAAACAGCTGACTTGGTTTATGGGTCCCTCTATGGTGACATCATGCCTAAACAGCACTAAAGCTCTGCATCGTTATTTAGAAGTAAGTCCTCTCTCAGTTGCACCCCATTTGCACAAACAAGGACCTGGGTAACTGACATGGGTACCTACATGCAAAATTCGGAGCCTGGAGTGCTTTTTATTCATGAAAGGATTGGCATAAGGGCTCTGTGCGCCTAAGGGTGCCACAATGCCAAGCTACCTTCAGCCTAGCGTTCCTAACATCAAGCGGAGAATATGCTTTTATGTACAAAACTAGATAGAAAAAGAAAATCTCCTCTGGTGCCAGAAGATTACAGACAGTTAAAAGCTATCAGCACCAGTGGATTTGACTTAAAAGTTTCACGTCTGTTTATACTTTGAAAAGACTTAGTCTTGGCAGGATGCTGCAATGACCAAGCCCTGTGGCAAAGCTAATCCCAGTATCAGTTATGCAAATTTAAGAATGATGCCCTTAGTTTCCCTCACTGTGTACCAGAACTAGTGATTTCCAGAAAAGGCAGCAGAACAATTGAAAGTGGTCTTTCAGTCT